GTATTCACTTTTTGTTATGAAAGTAGAAGAAGCAAATTAATGCTCCGAGAGATTCAATGTTTATATTTGTATTAAGTTCTGGTGAAATTACTGGAATACTTTGACCTGTTTACTGTTAACAAATGTGTTACAAGGTCACCTTTGATAAATACCTCGAGTTTGCTATGGTATTATTACACTCACAGGCTCGCACAAGGACAAAGAGGGAAGTTTTACATTCTGGATAATAATATGCTCCCAGGTTGGCAAAGTTCAAATATGTTTGAGACTCACTGTACCTAATATAAAACTGGAAATGTTTACATTAATGAAATGATTGGCAACATTCTAGGCCAAACTTTTCACTCTTCCCATACTGTTCTCTTTTATTCCTCTGTGCCTGCTGAATGTGAGGTTCTTTGGCCTTAGAGTGAATTTTGTCTCCCGCTAATGTTGTGAATTCCTACTTACCCTTCAAGATCTAGATCAATTTCTATCTTTTCGGTGAAGCCTTCAACCAAATTTACCCTCATCTCAACTTTTGACTTGGATCAGTTCCCCTCTCTTTATTTTTACACAGCATATTAAGATAATTTGTTGGCTTTTAGTCAAGTCGGCAGAATGAATGAGGATAGTGTCCAATTTTGTTTATTTGGTATGTCCTCGGGATCTAGAAAGATTTCTTGCATGAAAGATCTGTATATTTGTTGTATGATTCATTTGTTAGTATTTATAGAAATGTGGCATACATGGAATGGAGGAAATTAGATAAGCAAAATACAGTTCTTAATCTCCATATAACTCACTTAAGTTGTGATGACAAACATAGAAACATGTTATAAGCAGTGGGATTATAAAGAAGAAATAGATGTTGTATTAGACAGTACTATATATAAAAGCATTAAGTTTATATAAGATGATTAGATATCATATGCCAAGTATAGAATATGGATATTGTAAATGTATTTTTGAGAGAAATAAGTCTGAGAGTTGAGATCATCCAGTTTTAATTAATAAAACAGGGTTTTGAGGGAAGAATTTAAATAGCAGGAAAGAATAGCAATGATTAATATTCTAAGTAGGTATCAATCACCTGGGTGAGGGACCAAGGTCTTAACCCAGCCTCTCCAGGAAATATCCCTGACCCACCTTACTGAGAATCCTGTACACCTGGTACGTGACTTGCTCCCCCATTTGACCCCCATTTAATCAATATTACCTGGGTGACTGTACTTGGAATCTTATTGGTTGGTCATGTTTTTGTCCCACCTCATGCCCACCTTGTAAATTTCCATCGGATCTTATAGTTTTGTCCCACTTTGTACCCGCCTCACCACATGGCTTTGCTGTATAAAACATCCTTGAAAAGTGGGGTGGGCAACCCACTTTCCGGTCCCCCTTCTGTCTCTCTTAGGCAGAAGCTTTCTTTCTCCCAATATATTTTTTCTACTCTAAAAAAAAAAAAAAAAAGAAGAAGAAGAATCAATGGGATGAAGGAGTGGGAATAAATAACATGTTACATGGGGAAAAGGGCAGGTCATGTATGAATGGAAATTCTGAATAATAAAGTTGGAATATTGAGCCAAGACTCAGAGCTCAGCCACCAATTGTGTGACAGTGATCAAGAAAGACATTTAGGGCCAGGGATTTAGCTCAGTGGTGCCGCACCTGCCTCGCAAGCACAAGGTTCTGAGTTCGATCTCCGGTACCAAAAAAAAAAGACATTTGACCTTCATGAGTTCCAGTTTTCTTGTTTGTAAATTGGTAATAATAATAGCTGAAGATTACTGTTGCACAGGATTATGCTGGATATCAAATGAGTATGGATGTTTCCTACATTGACAAGAAGATATAAGTATTAAGAAGTAGTAGGATACAAATTGGGGTATGCATTATAGTTTAAAGGGAAAAATACTTGGAATAATTATATCCAATTTAATTGCTCTTTCATTCATTAAATAATAAGTCTCTGTGTGTGACCTTTGTCATTCCTAATATTCTGTTTACCACATCATTATTGAGGAACATATGTTAATTTAAAGTGCAATTTATTTTATTAACATAGCCCTTGGTCTCTCACAGAGCTTAGATTTTAGAAGGCAGCAACAGAGACAAAACAGTATAGATATATAAGATAATATCAGGTAATAGTTATAATGATAATGGTATAATGAAGGAATACTGCTCCTAGATAGAGGGCTCAAGGAGTCTCTGTAAGCAGAGCAGAAAGCTATTTGGGTACGGAGCTGCCTAGTGACTAGGTGCCAAGACCTAACTGCTGTGGTAGAGAATATGGTAGGCCATGGAACAGGCAGATGCAAAAGCCGTTAGCAGCATGAACTGGATGTGTTCAAGGGACAAAAGGAAAGTGAGTATGACTGGAACAAGGTGAACAAGTAGGAGAGTGGAGGAAGGGGCGATCAGGCAGCTGCAGAAGCACTTTATCATGAAAAAGGGAAACTAGATTTTATTCTCAGTGCAACAACAAAACTGTGAGGAATTTGAAGCAGAGAGATAAAATTGTCTCTTTCACATTGTTAATAATATTGTGTATATGTGTATACCTACATGTACACACATGTATCTGCATATATGCCATATATATGCATACATAATACAATTAGACTGTCAGATGATATAATGAACTCCAGTTTTCTTATCTGTAGATTGATAATAATAAACATATACACATATATAACAATACACATATACTGTCTATATATGCTGCATAAGGACATTTTGGTGAACAATGGACCACATATATGGTGGAGGTCCCAAAGTATTATATCACCTAGGGATGTCATAGCCGTTATAGGTTCTTTGAATATACTCGATAGTGTTTGTAAAATAACAAAATTGCATAATGACATATTTCTCAAAACATGTATTATTAAGTGGGGCCTGACTAACATGAAGTTAAAATCTAACTGCTAGATGATGAAATGAACTCCATGATTCCATGCCATTACATTATTTGCCAAGGTCTAATTATTGGTGGGAGATGGAAGTAATTTTACATATGTCAAATCTATTCTTTCCAGCATTAGGTTTTTTTTTAATGTTTGCACTTTATTTTGTTAAAAACATAATCCAACAAAGGAAGACGAAGATGAGGTAAAATGACTTCTCCATCCTGGTCATACAGGGACAGTACTGGAGTGCTTCTATCAGGATCCTTCTCTCATCTGCCATCCCTACAATAGCCTCTGCTTTTGTCAGAAAGAAACTTGGAATGTTGCTCCTCAGTGAGACAGGGCCACAGGAAAGGCTGGCTTCTTGTTGCCTTTGCTGAGCAAGCTCTGTGGGCCCTGCTTTTGGACTGTCTCCGTTCACATTCAGAGTTGCTATTCGTGGTCCATCCCTATCCTGCCCTTAATCGCACATATGTAGGTCAAAGATCCATTGTATTATAGAGTTGACTTTAGCATTAGATATTTTAAAAGTGGGAGCAGTTTGACCTCATCTTTTCAAGCTTTTACTAGTATATTTGATAACTAGTAAATACTCAAACAGTGCTAATTGGAAACACCAGTATTCTGAATGTAAATTCTGATTTTCTCTTTAATTTGTTGTTCATTTTATTTCCTCAGAAATAAAAAGGAACAGTGGTACCTATGAAAATGTTAAGTATGAAATTTACAAATGTTGAGCTGTATAGGTTTTGCTTCAGAGTATTTCAAAATTAATATTTGTAGTTCTTTCCCTGGAAGCACATAATTCCAAGAAACAATGAGCTGAGTTTTCTTTAGGGGGCAGATCCTCATTAGAGTGATTTTGGCACTTAGAGAGGCATGTTGTCTGCTTTAAGCCCTTAAAGCTTTGTGACTGACTTTATTTTTCCTTTGGAGCACTCTTCAGCATCTGCCCGAAGAAGTGGGAGGGCACAATGAATAACAGGGCATTTTCTTCTGGCCTTCCAGTGCCTGGAACAAAAGACTTATGAAGTTGCTTTGTGCTTTCAGTGCTACCAAGAACGTGGGATTCCTTTGTAAAAGACATATTATTGGAATTTACATGCCAATTTTAAAGAGTCCACTGTCTTCAAGGTCTACAAAGATAAATACTTATCCTAAACAGCATGAAACATATTCCCGTCTGTACAGGAAGCATTCATAGCCACAAAACCTTCTTCCTACAGCATGAAGGACTACTATCTTAATACTGTCAGTGTCAGAGAGGAAATGTGATCAGGCTTATGCCTTCTCTTTTCTTTTTCATCAGAAACAAGAATTTGCAAAACAGTCTAGCAAGAAATTATCTTTTTTGGTCTTTGTTTTATTATTTTTAATGATGTCATTTTTGACAATTGAAAAAGAACCATCAAAAAGAAAAACTACTTTTGACAGTTACCCTGGAATAAAAAAAAAAAATGACACATTTCCCTATATTTTTATCCTCTGAAATGATCTCTTCTGAAAGAAAATAATATAATTTTCAGTGAGCTGTGATTTTCTCCCTCCATTGATAATAGCCATCACTGGCTTTTTAAAATAAATTTCATACAGAGACCATTCCAGGATCTGCAAGGGAATCTAGAGGAGATAGAAAGTATCCTTCAGACTCTGAACTTGAGTGTCTTAGAGTCTTGCTGTGTTAGCAAGGAAAAATAGAACTCAAGTTACTTAAGAATCCTAAGAGGTAGTGCAGTGGTTTTAGAGTCCATAATCTTGACCAGTCATGTGTCAAATCCTCCCTTATTCTTTCTGCTCTCCAGTTGAGATACACTTACGTCCTAGAACCTCAGAAATCCATGCAAGGCTAAGATAATAGCAGTAACTCATCTTCTGTGTCAGATGGGTTTCTATAGGTTAAATAAGATAATGGATCATACATATGAAGTATTTAGCCTGATTCCAGGACCCCAAATAAGTACCTTAGACGCAGTTGCTCTAATTATTGTTAAATACAGATGAAAATAATTATCAGGACAAAACAGTTTTTTGATTGTCCTTCAACAATTATATTATGCATTTACATTTGCAAATTGTAAATATGGATTATGTTTTCATTTTTCCTTATAGGTATCTTAAATTGTTGTTTGGCATACAATGTTGGTCTCCCAGAAGCAAAAATATTTTCCGGTCCTTCAAGTGAACAGTTTGGCTATTCAGTGCAGCAGTTTATAAATCCAAAAGGCAACTGGTAAGAATACTCTCTTCTTTATGATTTCAATAACAATATTATATAAATTTAATATTGATACCCATTGCTTATTTAATGGGTGCTTGATTATACTATGGATAATTTCCAAATATTTTTAAATGAAAGATCATTCTCTGAGAGTTAACAACCACATATTTATAACCAATGGGATATAATGGTTCTTTAAAAAAACTTGTTTAGTAAATTTTCTCTAATATTCTATAGCATATTTATAATATCAGTTTAAAGATAGATAGATAGATAGATAGATAGATAGATAGATAGATAGATAGATGATAGATAGATATTGACCTTCAATTTTTATTCTATAAACTGATATTCATGGAAGTTTAAAAATAATCACCTAGCTAATGCTGTTTTAAGGTCATTATCAGATAGTAGAATCTCTCCTTAGATCGTCTCCTTAAGCAAAGCTTTGTCCACTTGCTTCATTCTAAGTTAGATATCTTCATGCTACAGAGGAATGGGATCTCACAAGCATTCTTGCAAATTTTACAAAGGTCCCTTTCCCTTGCATATTTACCACCTTTTATCTTTTCCCCATAGGGCTCCCCGGTCCTGTAATGCTGGGTGTTACATTTAGAAACTCTGGCTTTTCTCCCTAGTGAAAAATGTCCACCTTCAGGGAGATGGATATATATCCCTATTGCAGGTTCAAATTTCCCAAAGTGATAGTGCAAATAAACTCAGGCAAATTAGATGATTATGAACGCTCTATTTAGGAAGAAGAACTGCAGTGTCTCCTGTATCCAAGCTGCTGCCCAAATAAAGCCACAGGGGTGTTGTAAATGGAACCTTATCCCCATTTCAACAGAAGGTTCCAAACTGCCCTCACTTACTCCGGACCTTCAGTGTCTGCTTGCCACGCTCCAGAACACTTTCCAGTGATTAAGTGGGCTGCTCTTGGCTTCACAAATATGAGATATAATGTGACCTTTTTGTGTGTGAGCTTCTGTTTGATGTTCCGAACAATTGAAACCAAGTACTTGAAATCCAATATGTCTGCCTGTTGGGGCATCCCAGTCTGAATGATGAGGAAACAAATGAAATTACTGTATGCAAGAGCAGGACATCTCAGAAGCCATGCTGGAGGAGGTGAATCAGGAGATGAATTTTAAGTAGAGACGAACAGGCTAGAGAAGAGCATTTAGTAGTGTTATGAGATTACATTGGAGAGAGTTGTCAGTAATCTGAAAGGTTAAGAACAGGCTTGTTGAAAACCCAGTGATTAGAAATTACTCTAATCTTTTGGAATTTGAGAAAAAGAGTTTTATCTCTATCCAGTATCAAATTTGCTTTGGTGACCATAATGTAGTAAGAAGTCTAGATAATGTTTTGACCTTGGAATTTAGCAGATGAATTGTTAATAGCCCACAATTTTTCTTATCTAGCCCTGATTCTTTCCTGCAGACCCCCATGTCAAACAATCCACTCAACATCTGCACTTTAGTGCCAAACCTGAGAGAATACAAATATTCAAGTTTCTGCACCAGCTAATGAGACCAAAAAGGCTTGACCCTTCTTTTCCTCCTCTCCTGTGTTTCCTCTGAAAGCCAATTCTGTTGACCCATCACTAAAATATGCATAATGTCTGCCCCTTCCTCTACCATCTCTCCTGCTGCCACCCTAATGGAATCCAACACTAGCTTGTTCTTACAGTTATCACTGCAATAGCTTCTTAACCTATTGCTTTCCTCTTGTTTGCCTTTATTTTACTCTCCTCTTTATAGTGGGTGTGACTTACTCTCTAAAATAAAGCCTTCTGTGGCTTTCCACTTAATTTAGAGCAATGTAAAATTCCTTAAAGGAACTTCCTCAATCCAGTGCCAGCCTTCCATGCCTACATTATCCTCTACCCTTTCTCCTTGTATCTTGTGACCCATGAACTATGTCTTTTATGTTCCTTGACCACGCGAAGCTCATTCTTTCTTCAAAGCTTCTGCACATCTTTCTCCCCTGTCTGGGAGTCTCTACTCCCTAAGATCTTTACTGCCTGCCTTGTTCTCATCTTTCAGTCTCAGCTCAGATACCTGCTCCTCATGGACCATCCAGAGCATACGTATTTATATATAACACTTTATCACACCTCTTGGTCACCCAACAGCCTTATATGCATATTTCTGTCTATCAGTTGGTACCATTTGAAATGATCTTTGTTCATATGTTCATTATGTGTTTTCTATCCTTGTTTCTGAGTACAGGGACATCATTTTATTTGCAGATGTGTCCCCAAAACCCTCAGTGTTACCTGGCACCAAGTAGGGGATCATATAATTATTTGTTGTATAACTGAATGAAAGTCCTACTCAAAATAATTTGGCCCTGATAGTGTTTGTTAGAGATGATAGGCCTATCATGGCCATAAGAAAACTCAACTATTGGCCATTTTCTGGTTGAAAATTGAGTAAGACTAAAAGGTTCAAAGTCTTGACAGGAATCTATCAGGTAGAGTCCTGGGAAAGTAAGAGAGAGCCATTTCTCCTTTTGTTCTCCAGGTTTCTCTGTCAGCATTCAAGACTTTGTTAAAAGGCAAGCCTGTGAGCAGTTTATAGTGAGAGTCTGGTGGGACAGGTTGTTGTCAAGACCAAGATGTCAAAACCCCACTGGCCTGCTCATAGTTTTCCTGAGAGATATGTAAATGCAGGACAATGGTTATTGGCAGGCAAGACTCCACTCTATTACTATCCAGGTTAGTGCTCTGCATTTTAGTGTGCAGTTTTTCTAATAAGAAGTGACATTAAGCTTCCAAGGCCTTCCCACCAGCCTGTGTCTGCCTACCAGCTGGTAGGTGCTCCTCAGCACACAGGGAAGAGAACGGAGAGCACCTGTCTGTCCTGGGGGTGCTAAACCACTTGGAGATGAGAAGCAGGAAGGAACCAGAGAAAATCTGATGATGAGCTTGTTTACATTCTTTCAGTGAAAAGGAAGAGAATCAAGCCATGAGCATAATCTGATTCACTTTGGATTGGAACTATGTGAAGTACAGAAAGTGCAAAACATAGACCTTGACTTTAAGGAGGATAGAGCTGTCAATGAGGAAGATTTCTGTGCAGAGTAGGCAGCCACAAATAATACAGAATGTATAACTTAGTGCCAACACCTTGTAATTAATGGTACTTCTGTTCATTCAGGGTCGCTATCCCCATTAACTTGACATCAAGTGCTCATTTTCTCTTTCTGAGGACTGGGACATTAGAAGGAAAAGTTCCATCACGCCATTTGCCCCATCCTGCCAATGTGCCACAGTGGGCAGAGCTGAGTGGGTGATGCCACACCGGTACTAGAGTGGGCCACAGTGAGGACAGGCAGCTTTCACAACTCTCAGGGAAAATGAAGTGAAACTTGGAATCCAGAATTGCTATTTGTTATGACAATTGGCACTATGCCCTTCCCCACTCCTAATTTATGACAGTCGTATGGACATTATGGAAGTAGCAGATGTGAAAAGGACCGTTTAAACATTAACTTTCCTTCTGATACTAATCAAGTTAACTTTGGGCACAGAAACTGGCATTACTATGAATTCCTTTTACAAACTGAGTCTTTTCCCCTTGAATGTATCATATAACACGCGCATGTGAAAATGCAAGTGCATGTGCACACACCCACACACTCACATATATCCCTTTTAGGCTCTTATTCCTTGTTCTGAAGCTAAGATTTTGCTGCCCTTTTCCTTTGCTAACTTTGACTTTCTTTATAATTTGTCTATTGGAGCCCTGATTGCACTCTCAGCCTATTGCTTCCCTCTGACAACAATTTACATCAGGATCTACTGGATTTTAACAAAATGATCTTGACTCTTTTACCAGTTTTATTTATTAGATTTTTATTGCACTGTAAACTTCTCTAACAATAACAGTGACATCTCTTTGATAATCCTTGAGGCTTTTTAATAGTCTCAGGTAAGCTGGATAATTTTAAAAGCAAGATGACCTCCAAGCAGAGCACCAGAGCAGCCCTCCAGGTGTAAGGAAAGCTGTGTTCTGTTTTCAGTGCAAGTGGAAGAGGACCACTCTGTGTCTGAGCCCTCATTTTACACACAGGATGTTAAAATACAGATGATGCAATCCTTATCACAAACAATCTACAAAGGATTGAGATATGTTTAAAATCACTTCCTTCAGTTGTGGTGTTTGCGAAATCTAAAGGCCCATCCCATGAATAAGCTGAGCTCATTATATGACTTGGAAGCACTGAAAACTGCAAACACTGTGTCATACTCAGGACTGACTAAGAATTAGGGGCATTTCCAATTGAAGAAATGCATTTTCTTATTCTGGCAAGAACTGGTGCAGTCTGTTTCCTTAAAAAAAGAAAAGAAATACGATGAATGTGTATCATAGCAAAAAAAAAAAAAACTCCATCTGCATATGGGCTTACAGTATTAACTTTTTAATTAAGAAAAAGTTTAAGAAAGCTCTTTGAATAATATAAATGTAATAGATTGTTTTCCACAAATGTGTCTAGAAGAGAACTGTAAGTAAAACAAATAATGACATGTTCAGTTCTACAGTAGACATCAACAATTATGGCATTTGCTACTTTGGTAATAACAATATTTGAGATGTATCGAGTACTCTTTCTTTGCCAAATTAGCAATGCTCAGAATGGCTCTAGGTGATATAAAAAAGCCATACTTCTTTTATAAATGAGGGAGTGAGACTGAAAACGTTTAGATAGTTTGCCTAAGTTTACATAGAACTTACAAATAATAAAGATGAGGTAAATTAATGTGAAGCAGAGGTAAGTTGTTAAAATGGGCATACTTTTTGTAAATATCCAAGGAAGAGATTGGCAGGATATAATCAACACTTATAAATAAATGTCTAAATTTTAACATCAACTTTACAAAGTGAAATAAGCTTTCAGAATTTTGAATTAGAATTTCTGTGACTCACAATTTATCCTGTCATTCTTTCATTGGTTTTATTGTTCAGTGTTGCTGGGCAGGGTTGATAGTCACCATCCACCTCTAT